CCGGTGTTCCAGGGAACTCACCAAGTGTCAGAAAACACAACCCTCTCTATTTTCCTCCATACCCAAATCTCTAAAAAAGGGGCTGCAACGGATCTGATAAAAACTGATCCAGATTTGAACACTTCAATGACGTCACAGAAGTGGCGCTACGGCTATTGGGCCAACTCTCCACCTATCAGGGGAATGTGGGGTTGGGCCACGGCCGGCCATTGCCGCTCAAAAGCAGACTTCCCGTCCATAGTTACCATGGTTACCCTTCTGTTTATTCTCCGCTGTGGCTTTTTTTCTCCCTCCCCGAGGCAAGCGTTTGCTCCCGCTGCTTTAATTCCATGCAATCCCTCCCCGTCGAGGCAAGCACTGTAATTCTCTCCGGTTAGTCCACCAGCAGATGACAAACACCCACCTCTCCGCCTCTTCCAAGGAACGAGGGGAGCATGCGGCAGAGTTTCAGTTTCAGTTTCTTTCGCCGGTCAAGATGTCCGTTAAAGTTTAAATCTTCCGGACAAAATTAGAAAAGTGCCGGTCAAAGGTCTTCTTTGTTATTTATTGAGCTTTAAAACAAATGAATAACGACTCTATAGGCCTATAACAATATAATAAAACACGGAGGACGGAGATCTTTTTTTCTCCCCCTCTTGACTTGATCAGAGCACGGCTCCCCTCTCCTGCAGGGGGGCGTGGTCAGCTGCAGCTCATAGAATCAGCCCAGTAGACAGCAAACAGCACATAGAGCGAAATGAGGCATGGCTAAAATGCATGATCTGTTTGGTATTTTGAAAACAGAAACGTATAAATATACCTTATATAGGTATGGCCCTACAATATATAATTTAAATATAGCATGATAGGTCCACTTTAATATAGATACAGCCATGTAGTTTTAACTTTTTAGTAGTAAATTATAAATGATTTGTTGATGAGTTGGATTACTTATCTGGTTTAGACTCATTAAGGTAACTAAAGCAGTCAAATACATGTACAGTAGTGGGATAAAAATGTGCTAACCAGCTAGCGCCTGCCTGTCCCACTTCGTTGTAGCCCTACATTAAAAAAATGCACTAATATAAACTAAATAATAAGTGGTTATTGACTTGATGTCAAATACGACTATCCACAGTTTGCAGAGAAATGTCCTGAAATTAGCATGCTAACCAGCTAGCACCAGGCTATCCTGCTTTGTTGTGCACTAATATGCCTTTATACTGTTGCCAGCAATATCTACTGAAATTAGCATGCTAACCAGCTAGCACCAGGCCATCTTGCCATGTTGTCACTTGCTCCCTGAGAGGCGATACAGAGTGACAGATGCACAGGTCTCATTATGGCTTTATAATTATTTATAATAAGTGGCTGGCACAGCAGGTAATGTACCAGAGAAACGGGATAAATGAGATAGATGATAGCCATTTACGAGTAGGTGGGTCTCTGTTGCTTGAGATATTCGCACAAAGTCCACCCTTGAGTGTTTTTCCCCTTCTCTTTTCACTGCAGTGTGATTCAGTTGGATCCACTCAAACTGAAAGACGGATGTGATGAAGTGGATCTCACTAGCAACCCCTCCATTCTGGATACAGCCTCGATCCGACACTTCTTCTGTGGAGCATATAATGAGGAGGGCTGAACAGCGGTAGGGACGACTTGTATTATAATTTGACTTTTAGGAGGACAGAAATGTTTCCATTGTGCCTCCAGCACAGTCCAAAGATAACTCAAATCCCTCCACCTAAAACGATCCTAAGTTCAAACAGAACCACAGCAAAATCAAACATATTTCTCTATTGTTGTTTGTAGAGTGAAGTAAAAACCAAAAACAAAAATGTTTTCCAGTATTGGCGTTTGCTGAATTTTTACATTCCAACATCAAGTCAATACATAAGAGATTTCCATATAAATGGCTTTCTTCTCGGCCCAGATCTCTATCTTTTTATTCTGCAGCCAAGAGATGAATCCCTCCTTCATTTATCTTTAATTGGATTTCCAATATAAACGTGTTATCCTTCAGAGGTCCCTTTATGTCTCCCTCCTCACACACAACTTTCTGGTGGTGACATCAGAAGCTTTGCTCGGATTTTACATTATTCATCCATGCAGCCAAGGAAATGGACCAAAACTAGGCAGAATACCCTCTGAAAGATGTGTTTGGCTTTTTCTTGATACATTTCCCGCGCCACAATAGCGTATAAAAACAGTTCAAAGATCAAAGCCTGTTAATGCTGGGTAAACCAGAGATGGTTAAGAAAAGAGAGTGACAATTTCCGTGTATTTATGTCACATGGCTTTTCCCCCTGCCATACGTCTGTCAGGGTTAGCAGGAATGCCCAAGAGCAGTAAAAATAAGATGTCAAGTAGTCTTAACAAAAAGTGAGCTTTAGTTTACAAAAAAGCTGATGACAAATATAAACAAAGAAAAACTAAACATATTAATTTAATTTAAATCTCAGAGTTAAAATCTAAATATATGTTTGCTGCTGCCACACACTTGGCTGAAGGCAATTCTTTAGTTTAATTGGGCAGTTAATATTGTGCAACAGCGCTGCCGCTGTATACTTTTGGCTCTTTATATGCACAGCTCTTTCCCCACTGAGTAACAAATGGAGGCAGTGTAGTGTATGATGTTGTTTTACTGTAAATGTATTAGGATAACATTTGCCCGACGAAGACCTAGTAGGGTTAAAACGCCTGTTCAGTTGTAACACATTTCTGAAGCAGTTTGTCTCTGCTTTTCCCCAAGACATCATTATTTATTGATGCAGTGCTTTGAGCTCCATCTGATATCTGTAATCCCAGGAGAGACACAAGCAGCCATGGGAGGAAAACGGAATTAGCATTTAAGAAAGAAAGAAAGAAAACAATTAATAGCTGGTTCAAGCCTCCCACACATGGGCCCTGCTTAGTTGTGGAGACCTCAACTCGCCTAACCCCCCAACAAGGCCTGTGTGTGGGTAGACTGGCGCAGACTAGTAGCCAGCGATCCTTGGCTCTAACAGCTTGGCAGAGAGGTAATCGAGGCCTTACTGTGCACTCTCCATCAGACAGCGCTGAGTATTGGAGTGTGTGGGCGAGTGGAGGCAGGCGAGGCGGCTGAACGGCAGCCAGAGCAGAGAGAGCAAGGTAAATCAGCGACCGAAATACAGCTGCTTCCAGAGTCTAATTAAATATTGTGTGAAAAACAACTGAGATGGAGGTGTGACAGCGTATGCAGATGCATTGCGCAAAATGCCACCGTGATATCAGCCAGAGCTTCTTCTTTTTTTCTTAGAATAAAATATTTGATCGTCTGCAACAGTACATCCCACTGTGCCTCTAAGATGCTACAGCTAAGATAGAATTGAACACAGACGACAATTCAGAGAAAAGGAAATGTAGGTGTCATACAACCGGGGTTAATCTACCAATATTCAAAACAATGTTGCCAACATCTACCAGAGTTTACGTAACATCCACACGGCAAAAATCTTGGTCCAAAATCTGCATCACTTCAAATGGCCAGCAGGAGGTGATTCAAATTGCTGTGAAAATAAGTCCCATTGTGTAAAAGACAAAACAAATTCCCTTACCCCTCTCTTGATTCATTATCTCAGTTTACTTTTTCCGGTTGTGTTTATGGCTTCAATTGTTAATTTGAAGTCTTCTTCAATACAGCATGATCTACAGCCAGGTTCATATAATCTATCAATAATCACTGAAAAGAAGTCAGACGGGCGAAACGTGCAAGTAGTCTCTGAAACATACAGGTTTTTGTCAATCGTACTTGAAATGCAGTAAGTATGGGGATGGTATCATTATTACCAAAACAGCAAACACCTACTACAGTTTATTGGACAACCACAGCGCTGGCCCCAAACGGCAACTTCCTGGTCTTAAAAACCAGAGCTGATGCAGGAGTGCCTAAAATCTGAATTCCTTCAAATTGTCAGCAGGGAGTATCTACATTGGTTGCAAAACATTTTTTGAGATTGTATAGAAGTCTATGATAACATGACCATACTTCTCACTTGATTTATTACTTCAGGAACATTTTTCTTGAAGAGCTTATGGTCTTGGTCTTGGTGTTAAGTTTTACAGTATGATGTGAAATCAGGACAGCAGATAGCCTACACATCTTCCGGCGCAGACTGAAAACTCATCTCTTTCGACTCCACTTCGAGCGATAGAATTACTAACAAATCATTTCTAACAAAGCACTTATATACTAATAAAGGACTGGCTTATCTAAAGCCAGTTGAGTAGCACTTGAAATGTTTTGGCTCTATGAAACCTGATGTACTTATATGATTCTGTTTTCTTCAAGTTTGTATCTTCTTGGTCGAATGCACTTATTGTAAGTCGCTTTGGATAAAAGCGTCAGCTAAATGCAATGTAATGTAATGTTGTACTGTAAATGATAGTCCTATTTAGTAAGTGAGTGAAGAGTAAAATAGATGTTTAGGGTCGCATAAGGGCGGGGCTACCATGTGACTGACAGGTCGATACCACAGTAAAGTACGCTTCTATTTAAATGCACTCCATGTTTATAGGATGGAATTTAAACCATTTCATTGTTTTCAGTACATCAGAGTTCATTTTAACATTAATGAGCATAAAAATGCCTTGTTAAATAGCTTGTTGTACTTAGCTCCGCCCTCTCCTATCATTTCTGATTCCAAAAAACAGAAATGTTGAAGCCAGAGCATCCAAAATTGCAGTCAACAATCCAACTGGTGATGTCCGAGTGTCCACTTCCTATAGACAGTCTATGGATGCCCCTCAGGTTGGGACAAACTGGTTTAAATAATAACGCTAAACCTCTGACTTGTTACCTGACTAAACCTGACCATAGGTCTGACCCCTTTTGTGTGTGTTGGTTGCTTTGACAGACATTGTTGTAGCGGTTACTTTGGAGATTATAATATTCATAACCAAATCATGTCAAACCTACAAAAATAAGACCGAAGTTGAAATAGACAGGAAGTGTCCTTGAAAGATGTCCTTGATGCGAGCAGCTGAATAGATTCACTTACTGCAGGTCTCCTCTGCCTCATCAGAGCCATCGGGGCACTCTGGTTCCCCGTCGCATCGCCAGCGTCCCGGGACACACTGGCCATTTAAGCAGGCGAATTCTGCGGGGGCACATGTCTTCCTGGCTGCTCAGAGAGAGAAAGAAAACCCAGACATAGAAGAGAAAGTGTGAGGACAATAGCGCAAAAAGAGAGCTTAATCTCTGTCATGAAACTTGTCACATTATCTGAATCATCAGGCTCATCATTTCTCCCATTACACCTATGCTCTCCATCTCTCATGATAAACCTCATTAATTATCTCCCTTTTCCCTTTTTACTTGAATTTATAGAGCTGCAGGACTGAGTCCTATGACTCGGAAATTAGTTAGCATTTGACCTCATACGCATCCCTTGTCTCAAAGTCAACAGAACAATAGCCGCATTTAGCTTAGTGGTCTTACGTGAAGAGATGCCAAGTTCTTTTTAAGTGAAATTCCGCTTCAACTACTATAACATTTGTTTTAATGTATAGAAATATTATTGCTGAACAAAATATGTCCGTAAATACCGCACTCATGTATATGACGCCGAATGTTAGCCATCTTTTGCTCAGCGGTGATGTGGTTCATTGTAGCCTAACATTAGTTTTTTACTTCTGCCAATTGAGTTTAAGCTTTAAAAAACAAGTGGTGCTAATTTGTGGTCTATCCTGCTATACAAAATGTGTAAGTATTATTAACGTGTGATTGCAAATATTACTACTACTGGTCTCCAAAAGTCTAAACTGTCTTTCAGCTTTTCCATCGCAGAGCACTGAAATGGATGCTAAATGCTGAACACACAAGCTCAGCGAAGTTAAACCTTTTACCTCCCAAACCTCTTATCACAGAGAGCTACAAGCCAGCAAGGCCACGGGGCTGATAAACATGTGAAGCGTGTCGAGAATTGAATTTCAAAAACATGTTAGGAAAACGCCATTTAAGCAAGTAGAAGGAAATCGAGAGTTATCAAATTGTTCCCGTAACAGCCCCAAGCTTACCATGGTTGCTACCCAAATCATGCTAACCCTGGGTGTTCAAAGAGAAACGTGTATTTCTTCACACTCTCCACCTGTAGCACCTAGACTGCAATCTTGGAGAGTTAGCCAGAAGCAGACAGAGGTCAGAGACATTCCATTTCCTCAGACTGTTACTCTAAGAGGACCTGCAGTACGTAATAAATCACCAGCTAAAAGGCCCTCTGCTGAGCTTGGGGTTGTCACACAGCCACAACCCTTCCTAAGATAGCCCTATCTTGGCTCTGATGCTGCAAATTAGATATAGCGTTTAGAGCTGTGCGGGGAGCTTAAGCTTAGCGGAGTGGTTGTTAGGAAAGAGAGCAGGCAGTGATTTTCTCAGGGGTCTGATTTGCTGCGCTCACACTTAACTCTGCTCCCACTTCTACAACAAGTGTTCTTTCTTCAACTTGGTAGCAGATAGCAAAAAAGTGCAGACTGTGACAGTTTGACTTTTTAATGTATTTTGAAGAGTTCCAGCTAGGTTTCTATCCTGACATTTAACATGGGTCAGTCACAACTGCATAAAGGTGTACACAATTCACACGCAACACATTGAATGCCTTAAAAAAAAAAAAAAACACAAACTATATATTTAAATATTCAAATCCATTTAAATAACACATTTCGACCAAGGTCATCTTTTTAAACATTTGTATTAAAGAACAGTCCACAAAAATACGGTTCAGTTAGTTCAAGAACAACGAACAATCTTCAGTTGGTCATTACATTACTTATTTATCTGATGCTTTTATCCTAAGTGACTTAAATACACTTGAATACCGTAGACTTGAATACAGGAGCAGTTTGGGTGAAGTATCTTGCCCAAGGAAGCTTCGACAGCAGGGGCGAGGATCGAACCACTGACTTCTTGATTGGCAGATTAGCCCAATAACCCCCTGAGGCATAGTCAGTCAATCAGTCAGGCAAGGGCAAATTCAAACAAATTGTAAATTATTTGCAGCATCAATCTGCCATTCCAAGTTGTAATTAGCTTTTTGGGGAGGGGGAGGGGAGTTCAAAAATGGTGTTATCAATGAGACAGAGGGCCTTTCTCATTTCATTAATTTCCCCTCCTCGACTCCTTGGTCCTCCGGTAGTGACCCGGAAATGGATTTCAGTGCGCCATGTTGAAGGACATCTCATTTCTCTAAATGCACTTCGAGGATCGAGGATCGAGCATCGAGGAGGCTCTCTGGAGGAGCTATAACCGAGGATACACTGATGGATCCTCCGTGGATGTATTTCCGGCAACAGTGATGTTTAAAAGAGTCGTGACGCACGGCCGGACTTATCTCAGCCAATGACAGCTCTGCAAACTGCTGGATGTTATTTTATTAACTGCTTTAATCACGACGCGATGTTTACAGTGAGAACAGCTGTGAGGTCCGTGCAGAAAGCAGAGCAGTGTGTAAAATATATCACTCAGTATAACAGGCCTACATTACTCTCTGTATTTGTATGCTGTAGTTTAGTAGATATCTACAAACAAAGAGTTGATATTTTTCTAAAACCATTTAGTGCTTCACATAATAAAATACACAACGGCTGTAGCCTGATATATATGATATGCTTTAGGAGCTGTAGGTGCGTGTTGTACAGTGTGTGTGTGTGTGTGTGTGTGTGTGTGCGTGCGTATATGCGGCGGACAGACAGGTCTCAGTTGGTTTGGTGTCCTATGCTTACTTTTAATACTTGTAAATAAAACTTTTGGCCCGTAATTTCATTGTATCGACCAGAGAGTGTGGGGGGGGGATCCAGCCTCTGATAGTGTTACGTTATTATGAGAGTGCTCTCATACTTGTTTGAATCTGAAATTGTATATATGTCCACATCTGTAGCCTGTTATTGTCTCATTATACCGCACTGTGAATGAATTAAATGTAAATATATAAGTGGTCATGAACACATCTGTCCATCAGACAGAGGGCTGCTGTGCCTCCTGTCATCATTAATGGACGTCTCTTTAAAATGACCGCTCAGAGGAGAGGAGTTCTCATTTCTCTAACCGCCTGCTGCTTCCCCTCCTCTCTCCTCGGTTCCCCTCCTCAACTCCTCCGCTCGCATCTCCTGTGGGCGGGACTGAGACACGAGGATAGGAGTCGAGGAGGGGAGTCGAGGAGGGGAACTAGAGAAATGAAAAAGGGCCATAGTATATATGAGCTTGACGTCGATGCGTTGGTTATAAGGCGTGACAGGAAGTCTTGACAGGAGGGTATCGCCAGAGTAAGACAGAAGAAAAAGGTGAAAATAAATTGCCAACCAGGATTTAGGAAAGATTGGAATTTTAAAAATTGCTATATTAAGCTTATTTTCCGTAATGATTTTCCTTGTTCTCGTGTGTTTTCCAAAAAACTGACATTTAGGGGAGCTTTATTCTTTATTTCTTTTAGGACACAACTTCAGCAGAGCACTGCTTTGAGCCCATGAAAGACAACAGTTAAGTGTCTGTTTTATAACTGCTGCTTCAACAAGTGAAGAACGAACAAATGAACGTTTTCAGTACTGGTTGCAAAAATGTGCGGTAGATGTAATTTATGCAAATGAAGGGTGGTTCATGTTGACTTCCACAGTAACTGATCAATACTGAAAGAATCTTTTTAAAGTGTTACATTCAGAATGGAATTTGTTGTAGTGTAACTGTGTCAGTGCCAAGTCATTTTACCCAGTGCAAAATCTGGACCCTTTTTTCTGAATCCATCCTCTGACACCTTTTCTTTTTAGCCGTCTTTCATTGGACATAAAATTCCACTGAATTGTAATTCTCACATTTACAGTACGGGTCACTGAAGCGTTATCTATGATGTGGTTGTAAGTCTTCTAACGGCAGCGACGGTGCAGGGAAGCCTGCCGCAGAGAAGCACTCAGATTAGGAACCGCTTGTCTCTAATTCTAAATCTTGTTTAATTGCCCTCATTCTCAATTATCTCCTGTGTCAGAGTGCCAAAGTCAAACCGATAAAGGCTCATCTTGGCATGTTGATGCTATGAAAATAAATTATGAAATGTCTAATAGAGTTGCTCTAATAGGACGGCGGCGAATGTGTTATCAGCCTGCAACCACAATCAGCGAACCTTGTTTCAATTCACTTCAAGAAATGGAAATTACCATTAGTTTTCACCTTCTCTGCAAAACGTAATGAACTGACTCCATTAAACTACTCAGACACACAGTCCCACGCCTCCTTTGTTCCTTCGGGTGTCTCCATTATCTGAAACCCAAGCCCTTATATGTTTGTCACCAAAGAAAATAAACACAATCTTGTTTTTCTTAGATCGCACAAAGAGCGGAGGTTTTTCCGGAGCGCCGCTTAAGTGCCACTTGCCACCTCATTAGAGAGCAGGAATGTGCCTTTGTTAAAAAGGTGGAGACAGATGATTATGGGGCAAATAAGGGTTATGACATCATTTTAAACAACACCTCCCTCGAGTGTATAAACTCATTAGCACTGCGCTCGCATTTAAAGACCCAAAAGAAAAACTCGGGTGTATCCAGCAACACAAGTCGCACATTTTAGCATGAAGCAAAAGTAATTTATCACTTTTGTAAGTAGCTTTAAGAGAGACACACAAACACACAGGAGACCCTAAGGCACACAATAGTGTTTAAGGGAAACAGAATAATTAGATTCATTGAAATCCTGGAAGATATAACAACATTTTATTGAAATAATTAACTAATTGACTCCCGTGAGTCTAAAAAAAGAGATCAGAAGAATTGAGTAGGCGACTCATGTGCTGGTTAAGATTGTGCTTAGGTCTTAAATGGACCCTATTATGCTCATCTTCAGGTTTCATATTTGTATTTTGTGCCATACTTTAATGTTCAAAAAGCTCTTTATGTTTCTCATACTGCCTGTGCTGCAGCACCTCTGTTCACCCTCTGTCTGAAACCAGAGCCCAGTCTGATCTGATATGCAAGATTCAACAACATTTTGATGGAAATATTTAATTAATTTCACTCCCATGAGAGGAAAAAAAGAGATGAGGAGAATTGAGTAGGCGGCACATGTGGTGTTTAAGACTCTGCTTAAGACTTAGTTTGATCTTTTGACAAAGACCTTGAAAATCTTCCGTTCATCCGCTACGTG